ACAATACAAAATTTAACAAACATACCCTAATGAAACAGTAGAGCCTTAACTGTTATCACTTTTAGTATGCATTTGTTTGTTATGAGAGGACCGTAACTAAGCCGGTAGGCCTACGGCTTGTTGTCCGAAACCTTTGATATATTTTCATGACAATAAAATATATTTATATTAAAAAAATAATGAAAACAATGGCATCCTTTATTTATGTATGTAAGGAATACAAATAAGTTAAAGAATAGTGTCCTTAATGTTAGAGCAATCAAAGTGTGATAAATTGGCGGTGTTCAAAACACACACCAACCTTTCCACTACGGTTCGCTGCTAGGGAATGACCTCCCGCGGTGTAATTTACCCAGTGTGGATAGATAGAAAGATGAATGCAGATCTCTGAACAAGTATATTGAAGAAATAAACACAACGAGCCCCCTTTCAATGAACAAATATAAAATTGAATCTGTTCCACAATAGAATTTAAAAAGAAAAGAAATCAATTACTTGGTTACAAACGAAGAAAAAATGTACTAACATGTACTTAAAAAAAAACCAATACAAATTTCTTTTACTGTTTCGATTACTGGTCAGTGAGAGAATTCAATTTTTCATTGCCTACGAGATGTGACCGTTGAGTGCAACGATGAGCGACATCATCACCTAATTTATCCGGACATCGAGTCTTCCGTTCATCCCTGCTCTGCCCACCTTTGTCTAGTTGTCTGGACCTGGACTCTTGTCAGTCGAACTCTAATATAACAATCGTCTCTGGACCTAGACTTCGGCTCAGAATTTGCTCTGGTACATGGAGTTGGTACAGGAATTTTCAGGAAAATCTCAGGAGAGTTCAGAATTATCGGGAAAGTTCAGGGAAGCTGTTTTCCTTCAATAAATAAAATGTCTCGCAATAAACAATAGGTCACATTTCCAAGTATATCTATATTTTTTACATTAATTCGGTTCAGAAAACAAAAGAAATAAATTCTGTTGCATTCACGTTCACTAATTCCTATGTTTACATAGACGGTCATTGCCTGTTCTGACTTTAATTCGGGTCACGCTAGTGGAGATCATTAAATTCTACTCCACGCTAAGACGTATGTGCCCGTATTTAACATCCCTTGACTTCTTACATTAAACTATCTAGTAGTGTTAAATTACATATGGCTTAGACCATCAAATCTAACTATTCTAAAATAGTATGTGATCAATTAAATATTGCAAACAAGTATAGAATATACACTCAATACTTGTCATACTAGACATAGAGTTAATTCATAAAACAACGAACATTACCCATTGTTTATTAAGCTTAATTCTTAAAAATTCCTAAGCACTCCTATGTATTAGGGATTCAATTACATGCAATCTTGTCAATTCTTCCAATTACTATTCAATTACATGCAATCTTGTCAATTCTCCAAATGAATTGATAGTTAGAAAATCAAAGACTAAAATGTCATGACTATCATTTCACAAAAACACTGAAAAGTGAAATCATACATACATACATCATAACATCAATACATTTGCAAATAAATCAACAAATGAAATAGCATATTAAAATTGTGGAACTAAGATTGCGTACCTTTTGCCGTTTTTTATTCGTTTCTAACGAACCTCACGTATAGTCTGTCTCCTATCTGAGACAACTATCCGGCCCCTTACTCAATAACGAAAACGTACTTGCTACGATTTCGGAATCCGTCGAACTTTCCTCAAGGAAGATTTGAAGACTGAAGAATTTCTCCAAAGCAAAACATTTCATTCCTTACAAAGTTACGCCCATAAATTACTATTAACCAATCGGACTCGACTGTTTCCCTAATCTTCTACGTATAATTTTTGATTGTCAAGACAGCTAATCATGCCGTAATTAACGTGCCTTTGAACAATCACTTATTGCCAAGCTTCCCCCTTTAACCGGTTGATTTTGGGAAAGTGTCTTATGTCATAGCCTTTTACCATAGCTTATGACTCGGTCAGGTTTCGTCGCGTGGAACGAATTTTCTTTTGACGTTCAGTGATGAAATGAAAAAAATCATCTAACTATCTCTAGCCCTTTCTACTTTAATTAAGTTGACTTGGATACAATTCATTTAACCAATGCCTCTAAGAAATTTGTCAAAAATTGTTGACATGGGAGAGGGAGAGTTCAAGATAAATTGACGTCAACAATTTTTTTACAATAAATTTAATAAAACAAAAAAAAAAGGAAATTCGTCGGTGCGTTGGTATGGCCCCCTTCCCCCCCCCCCCGCTCGCCCATCAACAGCCCATTAGTTTAATCCAAAAGCGGTTGAGCTCTTGCCAAGGAAGACATAGTCTTGCATCATCATTTTTGTTTTCAAAATTCGACACATCACTAAAAGATATTAGGGAAAGCTATAATTGCTGTAAAATGACGTCTTGATTCTGACCTTCATATATTCCCCAGATGTTTTTACAAATTGTTATATAAGGTTTGTGCAATGGCCAGTAAGCGAATTTGTTCCACAATTCGAAAGATAACATTTCAGCCATTTTGATAGGTCAATTACATTTCAAACATTTATGGGTATTTGTATGTGCAATGCGAGATGGCAGCAACGACCCAAAAGACAGAAAACTGAATTAAAGAATGAAATAGCAGCTTGAGGAACGTTTGACCATACCATACGCTAATGTTTGCAGGAAGAATGACAGACAAAACAGAAGTTTAGAGTCAAGAACACACACACACACACACACACACACACACACACGGTAAGGTATACAGCTGATTATCTAAATGGGTAGGGATGCAATATAAACGGAACGATAAATAATAAATATGTTCTCCCGATCGATCTTTCGATCACCATTATGTTTGATGGTGGAATAGGGAATTCGTGACTGTGTCTTCCATGCTTAGAATCTGCATTATACTGGATCCTTGTCAGTTCAAGTCTGATCTATTCAGTGATTAATCTAATAGTCCGAGTTTCCTCTGACCTTTGCCAACCCAATTTTGATATTTGGACATTTATGTTGTGGTGTAGGGTCAGAGTCCACTGCCTATCGAAACGTTGGAATTCATCGACACTGGTGTTGGCATAGGGTAGCCGCTCTTTAGCCGGCCTAGCAAACCTTAATGACCTTTCATCGAGATATATCAGCATGAAATCGATAGGAATATGATTTATTTTGACAGAAATTGCGAGTATAGCGTTCGTTATGTCTTCAATTCGTTGACAGACTAACCGAAACTATAGCGTTGATGAAATTTTACATGGATCTCGCCAAACGTTCAAACTTGCATGATGCTGACATCTTAATTGCGACTTTGACGGTGCTGCATTTTAAACTTTACGACCTTATATATTTTTACCGTTACGGTATTTGATCAAATGAACTGTCAGAATGCAAATAGGAGGCTAAGAGATGGAATGATGCAATGTACAATGTTGATATATGTAATATTGAAAATATGCACTTGGAATGGGAAGATATGAAATGGCGGTATTCCAATATCACGCAAATACAATTTAGATGGAACTATTAGCAGATGTGAATATGCAATATTGAATGTACATCTTACACACATAGAAAATAAAGAAAAAAGAATAATACTGAAAAGAGTATAAAGCATAAACTAATAGTAAATGCATGCGTACATTTTGGTGGTAACACCCCTCCGTATACAACAAGTCAGTCTACTCAACCAAGCATAAAAAAGAAAACCATTGAAGACCACGTTTTCCGTTTTAGAATAGCAAAGCAACTAGTAATGAATGCCGTAAACGAAGAAAAGGAAAGGAAAAATGGTAGTGAGATATCACGAGAGCACTACAACTACAACAATTAGAACAGTAGTAGCGATTGATGAGCAGTGACAGTTGTTCCAACAATGGAACCTTTAGCAACAGTTGCAGCAACTACAAAAGTCACATTCACCACTAAAAGAATCAAACCAGGGGGTGTAGGATTGGAAGATTGAGGCTATTCAGACTTAATTTACCATGTCCTTTTCTCTAGATCCATGGACACAGAATATGCAGGCAAATAGATGTTCTGGACATGGAGCCCAGCTTGGACAGGGTGGGTACAAAACTTGTCCGGAATGTAAACCAAGCCTCACAAAAGAACATATTTTTCTCAAGGATAGCGAACGGTGCTGTTAAATATATTACTTAGAAACTGGAACAACTAAAATAGAGAATTATAGCTATTTTAAAAGCATCGCTATCGTGCCGAGGGTCTCCATAATCCCTCGATATTGCACCTATAATTTCATATAATATATTGCTTATTTATAGCACTTACATTCCCCTCATTCGGTTTATTATGTATTCATGTGGTGTGGACAGTTTATCCTTGATCTAATCATGCACGTTTCTGAGCCTTTCCTCAATATTTTGTGTTAAAAGATTTTTTAATCTCTTTTTTTCCTTGTTGTCATTGTAAGTTGTTGTCTTTCTGTCTCTAACGAAATGCTTGCCCTGTCTGACAAGCTATGAAGCCATGCAAGTTACTGTGGCGTTGCAAGCTTTCGTGTCGCACACTCGCACATATATGTATGTATGTATGTATGTATGTATGTATGTATGTATGTATGTATGTATGTATGTATGTATGTATGTATGTATGTATGTATGTATGTATGTATGTATGTATGTATGTATGTATGTATGCATGCATGCATGCATGTATGTATGGTGTATGCGTGCGTGCGTGTGTGTGTGTTAAGGAAACATATAATTTAATTTACACATAATATGAAATTTAGACAATAATCAGACAAAGACATGGATACATATATTCATACGATGGACAAAATGAACACAACAACATAAGCTTAGAGGCGGAATTTTAAAAAAGTTTCAGAGTAATGCCTACAATATACTGCATACCACAATACATGCATGAGAGTAACAAATGGGTGTTACTTAATATGAGTTATACATTTATTTTATAATTTACAAAACTGAATCAAGCCTTACCTAAAAAGAAATAAGTTTTATTTAATGTGCGTTATAAATGAATTAACTGCTCCGGTGGCCTAAGTGGTTAGAGCATTCGCCTTGGATGCGGAAGATCGCGGGTTTGAAACCCGGCCGAGTCATACAAAAGACTTTTATAAAATGGTACTAGCAGCTGCCTTTCTTGTCACTCAGCATTAAGGTGTTAGTGTTAGGATTGGTCGGCCTGATGTCAGGATAATGTGACAGGGTGGGACAACATGCTACATGTCGCATGATAACCCAGTGCTAGATATCACTACAAACTTCCACACTGCATACATCGCAGTGATATGAATGGAATATTGTTAAAACTACGCTAAAAATCCAATTCACACAAACAAACACACACACACACACACACACTATAAATTATTTACAAACAAAAGTAAGTCTGGTTTTTTGAAGACCAGAGGTTGATCATTTTCATTCAGTTGTTGTTCTTAAGGATTGTTCGGTGCAATGTTTTTATGTCCTGACAACATCCGTCCGCCTCGGGGTCTTGAAAGTTTTCCGATCAACGCATGGACGTCCATTGCTGCCCCGAAAATTTGTTGCTAACTACACCCTGTGCAGTTTCCCACGCACAAAGTTCTCTCCACGGAAAATTCTTCTCGGCTCGTATCGAGCTCGCAGCGTCTGCAGTAGACCATGTTTTATACAGAGCTATGACATGATTGAGATAATGTAGTGGTCATTTTCGCTTTACCTCTGACGATGTGTGATTTTTTTTTTGGAACCACGCCCGTCACACCTCGATTTCATCATGAGACGATGATTTTTGGTGACCTCCTCGATGGGGTTGATGCTCTCCGGTTTGGTTTCGCACTTAAGGCACCACGAGTTCGTGATGTTATGTTATAGTTGATATTACTTTGCGATAACACTGTTTCGACGGAGATTGTCCTCCATACCTGCATTGTATGAATCGGTGTAGTACCGTGTACATGTGTTGTCGTTGACGGTTTGAAGCTGTACCGAGTTGTAAACAGCTCCTTTACGTGGCTGTTAGAGATAGCGCACGACTTCATAAACCAAATGAATCGAAATACTCGACGTCGTTGTGATGGGGATCGTCAACGACAGTTACCTAGTGAGTACCACATCCATCGTAATAATTTGTAGGTTAATCACGCAGCTCTTGTCGGGTGAGATATATTTCGGAAGCTGATCCTTAGAAACGACACCTCTGAAATTTCCAACGCTGAGTCCCAATATGTATTCGATGTCTAGGTTAGATAGGGGTGTTAAAACCTTTTTGTTTCTTATGCCTTTACTGCGCGTGGTTCCAGGAAACTGGAGTCCTTTTACAGAGATCCCTGCTAAAAGGGGTTCAAAGAATCTTCCATGTTAGACAGTTGCGATGCCGACAAGTTCAGAACGATGCATTTCCGTGTAGCCTTAAGTTTGACCACAGAGTTCGCTTGTCTATGGAATGTACGACGACGCGATGTTGTATAAAATGCTATTTTTTTTTCTTTTGTAACCCGATTGGCATAGACGACGGTGTCGAGTTTTTGGGGTCCTGCACTGCGAGCTCCACTGCCCGTCATAGCCTTTTGGGTGACTCGGTATTGGCTCTCGTCGCTGCTATAAGACCCAACGGTGTAAGAGCGGGTGTAAACAGCTTGAGCAGCATAGTTTTGACGAAGGGATGATCGTGCTGGCGATGGATCCTCCCTTAAGTGTCTTGCACTTGGATGACTTTTTCTACGCGGAGGCATTGTCTATACAAGGACATTCATTTCTCCATTGTGCACGTCATGAATCGGTCTGAGTTCATCATCGATCAACAGATGTAATAATCATCTGGATCGCCAATAGTCCATAGGATTTCGATATCGGCAGGACACGTTAGGAATGTTTGGAGATATCAAAGTCGAAGATAGGATACAAATTAGCGAAATCGTTCAGTGAGACCTGTATCTCCGTGTCTACGTCATTATACTTTTGCATGGCTTCTATCATAATTATGTACACGCGAGAAAAACTTCGTGTGCCTAAATCGCAGTTGCATTCTAGCTCTCGTTCTGGAAATTGCCTGGAGTTTATGCGTACGTGAATGCGAGACACACTGAGATAGTCAAGTACGTGCTTTTTTACAGCTTGGTTTTCTTGTCGTGCCACCAGCTGAAATACCACGAATACGTATCTGGGAAGTTCGCTGCCTGGATTGGTGGCTACTCTCAACGACGTGGTCATTTGAGGTCCTGAAAATTATTGCATGTAAATGCGGTGTTGTGTGAAGTACAATTTCTTGGTGAATCTATGCAGAGTCGATTTTAGTTCGATCATGTGTGTAGTCGAGTGAGTGATTTTGGGAATCCTCAACGATAACCACGTCATGATGAATTGCCCATCCTCTGTAGCTGATGATCTGTGCATATATTATGCAGGATAATATCTTTTCAGCACCAGAGTGTGCTTCACACCCCTGAGCGGATATCTCGACACACACTGAAGAGGAACTGGCATGTAGATCTGGTGGCTGTTATCTGTGAGAGCTTGTCGGGCAGTGAATCTGACGTTGTAGGTGGCATTACTTGCAAAACCAAAATTAACGCTGAAATTGACTCAGTCACATTAGCAGTATCCCCACGCCTGCCAGAGGAGGCAAGTCCACGTTGGTGGGGAACCCGTTACTCATCGCGTCTCCCATTGCTGTATCTCTGTACCACCACATGTTAGTGGCACACGATCGCATGTAATCATCGCTCAACATAATCAAATTCAGGATCGTGCTGGCTTTGGATAAGAAGCCATTAGTTTCTCCCACAGTTTGACTGTTCAGTTGATATTGCACTGACTTGAATAACGACCATCCGCTATTTTGGATCGCGATCTTTGAATTGGCTGAAAAGTCCACTGGTAGGTTTGTGTTAGTCTGTAGTGTTCGCGGATTTTACAGAAGGCTTTATGGGGAAGCAGATACACATTTTCATCACGAGTCTCTTTTTTTAGATGTGTGCTTGCGTTGAGATTGGTGATATTCTTGTCCTGATACTCGACATACTCGTAGTCGGTCATCGAGGGATGTCATTATTTAGACGAAGATAGTCGGGAGTAAGTCTCGAGTACTTGATGTTATGATATAATAGTGATATAAAACACCAGAATCATTTTAATCCCTAACCGGTCATGATGGTGCTTGGAGACGATGCACTTTGTGCACTCACCTTTGTCTTAGGATCCTGTAACATTCTTTCGGTTTTGTCGCTGAGGAACGCCGAGGTTTCAGTTGAGCATGTATAAAATGCCTAGACAGATCGGACAGCTGTGCAGTTGACTGGTGTGAGGATGAGGTAGAAGCGGATAGCGGAGTGGGAATGATTTTAGCTGGCTATTTTTGCCTCACGGCAGTTTTATCAGCAGAGGCTGCTCCGGTGACTCCAGATTCTGCTGAATTGACGACAATCAGAGCTGTTTGCTGGCAATACCTGGAAGTGCTAATCGTACTGAGGCAAATAGCGTGGATAAAAATCCGCCCACTATTTTAGTCTTTGGCTGCTTATTTGATATGTTATCATTTTTTACGTCTTACGACGTACATGCATATAATAGGTAATTCTTTCCTGGATATTATCGACGGCATTTCCGAACTGATTGGTGAGTTACAGAACGATTTCCGAAATCGCTTACGTATTCAGGATGGGATAAAATATGAAAGGGTTAGGTTGAATCTGACTGAGTGCGCCTGGGGGAAATGTTAGTCAACGTGGAACAAATTATGTTACAGGCGAACCGACCGACGTCATCGATTCCTGACCAATTGAACAGTTGATGTTGAGATTTTACGTCAGTGATATTGACGGGAAAATCTCCTTCGTACACTCCATTTTGTGATAAAATAGTCCCTGAGTCTAATCGTACGAAGTAATTTTCAGCGAGCGTAATCCTGATTCTCAACGGGGAATAGTTAGGCTTATGTTGGTGATATTGTACCCATCTAGCGAGACTATGATCGTTTTTCCTGAATCCATGTCTAGTATGAAAACTTATTGTTATTCGCGATGACCTTAAAGCTATTCCAGATTTCGTCGGAGATCAACGCGATTTCGAACAACAACCACAGAAATAATTTTAGCAGGGAATTGTAACTCGGCGTGGAAGTGACCGATCGTAAATCGAACAACAACGTGGTATCGTCGAGAAACATGTCTATGTAAGATGATTGCTAGTATGACAGGTCCTCGTACAGAATATGGCACTGATGTGGCAATACCAACTTGTTGTCCAGAAGATGATTGAGGATCTACACCATCTCTTGATCGACCTCCACACCAACACCAACATTCTGCGTTTGTTTGGACGAGAACAGCAGTTTTAACCGCGAGACTATCTTGAATTAATTGTGTTAGTAACGGGTACCTTCTCCCGTCTTTGTCACTGCCTTATTCTCAAGACGAAGCCTTCTCATTTTTAAGCTCCATATCTTTATTTTAACTCCGAGCTTCCTGTAAGATTATAACGACTTAAGATAGGCATCTTTTTTAACTTCACTTTTCTCGCTTCTATAACTTTTCTGAGCCCCTTTTTCGATAATGATTTTAAAGACTCATTTAATTTTAGCTTGCTTTATCACGGATACTGTAAAAGCTGGATCCATCACTGGAAACATGGGTCAGGATTCCGACCTTTCCTCTGAATTTGATTTCCTCTCCAATCACCCTAGTGTCTTTTTTTACTCTTTATACAGCTGGATCAGGTGTTCTTTCTAGTCTTCGTCCTTGTTTTGCTTAATACAGGGTCCATGCATTGTATTGACAAGGTTTATTAAGTCACGTGTAGCTAACGCTTTATATTAATATTCCTTGACAGACGACCCTAGCAACATGTGATTCTTGATTTTTTTAAAGTGTATCTTTTACACAATGTTCCAACTATTCTTTATTTAAAGTACAAGGGTTTTTTTTTATACCCGACACTAAACACCAGATCACTCATAGCGTAGTTGATCGAAACAGCTCATTTTTTTTTCTCTTTTCTCTTCCAAAAACTACCTCTAAAACTTTTCTTTTTCCTGATGAGTTTTCTCTTTCTCTGTTTCGAGCACATCAAGACTGGTTTCGGATTCTGTCTTTTCTTCTTGCTTCTGCTGAAGTGA